GATAGTGATAGCAAATGTCAACTCTTGATGAAACCTGTAACCAATCAAATCCCTGCAGACCATTATTTGAAAAAGAATCTGACGTTCACTAGCGACTGGCATCATACAGGAAGTTACATGGAGTTGTAGTGAGATGTCGTGGCCAGAGGGTACACCAAATTAGGAAGGAGAGGAGTGTTACTCAACGATGACATTGGCTGTCAGTATAGCTGTCGCGAATCGACAGGAGTTGGAATCCATAGACCATTGGATCACCTGTCAGTGTTTGAATGGCATACGAGCTCCCCTTGTGAACGGAAGGTCCTGGATTCGAACCCTGATGGATGTTCGCTTCTGAAGAGTCCTAAACTAGGACGAAACAGTCGTTTCTAAATGATTCTCTAATCGATGTCAGCTTGTGATCAAACCTGTAACTGATCAAATTCCTGCAAGCCAACACTTGATAACAGAGAACTTGAGTACAGTGGAGATGTGCTGATGTGTCCCTGTGTTTCATTTTGAACGCAAGGAATGAATAATACAATAACAAGCTCGGAAAGTCTCTATCAGTCTTATTTTACGATTCGTAATTCTCAATGAAATAGTACTTTAGATAAGGCTTTAAATCTCTAGAATTATACAGTTTTTTTTTCATATTTATATGGTTTCAAATAATTCTCGAAATAAAAACAAATCTTTCTTGTGTCAATTTTTGTGATTTTGTGATAAACACGTGTATAGTCAGTCAGTAATTTGCATAGCGAAAAGTACAAATGTGACTGATTGACAACCTGACAGCATTTCTGATAATCTATCAGAAAAAATATTAGATTAGTTTGTTAATCTGCACTGATCAGATTCTGAACCAATCACTCTTAAAACGAGAGAGAGAGAGCTGACAGTAAAAGGCATGTTCCTTGATCGCCTGAAATACATTAGAATATAGATTTGTCTAAATCCCAGTTAGCCTATAATGCTTAAAGTGTTAGTCTACAGGGATTTGATTGGTTTCAGGATTTCATCACGAACTGACATCAATTAGAGGACCATTGAAAAGCCTGCAGGGAATACTAGACAGCCGTTTCGTCCTAGTTTGGGACTCTTCAGCAGTACGCGCCCACTGAGGTTCGAACCCAGGACCTTCTGGTTACAAGGCGTGCTAGCTCGTAGACCAGTAAGTCACTGGAACGCGATCTAACGGTTCACGAATTCCAACTTCTGCCAATTCTATAAGGCTTTAGCCGCAGACCTTATACCTTTAACCTTGATAAATGGCTTTAGAGGTTATTATAACAGTTGCACTTAACACGGTTATTAGACTTCTTTTAATGTTAACATTGATATATATAGAAGAGTGTTCTCGCTTGCACCACATATAAATTACACACAAACGGCCACATCTATGGCTTTACATTTCGCTTTGATAAATTGTTAGAAAGTAAATCACTATTTTTCGTATGGACTTCATCCACTGTATTTCATTTGAAATATTTCAGTGTTTTAAGAAAGCTTTACTAATTTACGCCTGAGATTTTATGTATACACCTGTGAACTCAATCGTTCATGTTGCAGATTTCATTCCTACTCTTCAGTAGATTATTATTATTTGGTTTCAATAATTTGCCATTAAGCCACTATGTAATTACTATCGTATAGGTCCTGTGTGCTCCGATGTTAGTTTGGAATGAGTTTGAATAATAATAATAATAATAATATGGATTGTGTCACTAACCAGCATTTGAAGAAAAATGAAAAACTAGGGAACACTAGTCATTTGTCTCAGCAGTGCACCCCGCCTCTATGACCCCGCCAGGGATTGCTTCCAGAAACTTTGGGTTACATGCCAAGTATGCTTACCATTGGATCACCGGGTTAAAACTCTGTGATCTATGAATTCCAACCTCCTTCACTTCGCGATGTAAGTGCCACTGCTACACAATGTCATGAGTGAATATCGGTCCTCACATCCAATTTGGTGGAACCAACTGATCAGTATACTTCCGATTAGGACCTCCAGATAACGCCCTTGAAATCAGTCACTAATCAGCAATAGATTGATATTTAAATGTTGGGTTAGTAAGGATTTGAATAATTTCGATATATCTCTAAATTGTGAATATACAGAATTTCAAACTTATGGATTATTGTATCCTAATGCAGCAGTTGAATGATAAGTGTTGTTGACCCGTAACCTGAAGGTCCTGGCTTCGGTGGCCATTGAGGTTATTGGAGGTTGCACTTCTAATGAATTCCAAACTAGGATGAAACAAATATTCAGTGATCATTTGTCTCCTATGGTTCTCTAACTGGTATTGGATCGTGACTATGCCTTGAATGAAGTTCAAAATAAGCTTTTAAGACGAATTGATATGGCAACGTATCTTAGGTTTAAAGCATTTGATTGTTTCTCATAGGTTTATGTCATTTATGACGTCGAGAAATTCTAATGCATCCTAAGTGCATATGAGAATGCTTCTGCGATACCTACAATTTGAAAACCTAGAGAAATATTCTCCTGTTTTGGATTACCTGATATAGTTGTAACTGATCATGCGACGCAGTTTATATCAAGTCAGTTCCAGCCTAACTGCCAGGAAAATAGAACTGAACATATCCGATATCGACGGTATCATCCATAGTGGAACGGTCAAGCAGAACGTTTTGTTCATGCATTCAAACGAATCATTCTGAAAGGAAGGGATGAAGGACGTTAGAACAAGTACTTCAAACGTTCCTTTTGGATTAAGCAATCAATACCGAATCCGCCGACTACCAACGGACTGTCACCTGCTAAACATATATTCGGATGTAAGATTTGTATTTTTCTGGATAATTTACGTCCAAGACTTAACGAGAAAAAATCAAGTAATACGAAGATTGAAGAACAATACAATAGACGTCATGGGGTAAAACTCAAAGATTTCTCCGTTAGTGAATCTGTGTGGGGTGGTGATTTTCGAACTGCTACACCCAAATGAACAAAAGAATTAATCGAAGAGAAAATAGGCACAGTGACATACAAGGTGAGCGTCAGAGGACTCCTGTGGCCAAGACAATATAAGCCGCATCAGGAAAGGAGAAGTTTTTGATGATACTAGCAACCGGTTTCAGGGAATTTCACCCATTGATATCCTGTGCAGAGAAACAATCATGAAAAACCCAAGTGAACCACAGTTGCCGGTACCAAGAGGGTAGCAGAGGTTATATAGACCTGAGAAGTATATTCAGGTGGATCCTAAACAGCGAATATTAAAACGACGTGTCAGGACGGATTAACTATCTTTGTTAAACCGTGAAGTTATGGTTGATGCATGAGCTGACATAATAACCTGAGTGGACAATTCTGGACTGATTTGTTTTCGAGGGTCTTCAAGATCATGCAATCAATCAAATATCGATTATCTATTTATGGTTTGAATTTCAGTGGATCTGTAAACGATATATATATATATATACCCTATATCTGATATAATAAAAGTTGTTGTTGCTGTCGTGGTTTTTGCAGTTAAATCTGATTTCTGCGTCTATCTCAGTGTGGGAGAATATTTTTCAAGTGAACCGCTGGTGTCTGTAGACGCTCCCTAGTCAAAATCGACAACAACCAACAAAACGGTAACTCTCCATCACAACAGATTTGACGACGGGAATGGGATTTGAACCCAGTATACAGTGGTAAATGTAATAAGTGCTCTGTTTAGTGAGGTTATTCGTCTCATGAGATGGTTTTGAGGCATATTACACAAAAAGTAACAGGCCAAAACAATCTTCAATTGAGGATCTGAAGCATATTCGGAGATTGTGAAGGTTCAGACGACATCTAAAACCAACGTTTTGAGAATTAGATTCATTATTATTAATATTATTCATTCCCTGCATTCCGAATGAGACATGGCGCCTCATCGGCACTTCTCCATTGCCCTCAGTCCTCTGCTACCACTTTCAGCTGACTCCACGACTTCCCATATCTCTTCTTCTCGTTTCTGCTTATGATCTTTTCCATGTCTTATAGGAATACCCAACCCTTTGCATCTTATTCGACTTTCACTCGAGCACCTGATGTGTGTGATATAGCTTGAATCTCTCCCCAGTGTATATGGAACCCATCTCCATTTTTTTTTCTGTATGTCTTCATAACTGGCTGGTTCACTGCCTACCAGAGTTTCTGGTTGCCGCCTATCCCTTCTGATCTGCCATCTGACCTTCAGTGTCGAGTGATGTTGTGTCATGGCTACACGGAATACGGTCATTACGGTCTGCTGTGAATCGGTCATTCTAATGAAAACACTGTGTTTATTTTATCTGAAGTCTCATCGTTTTCAAAGACAAAAAAAAACAAGTGACTGAATGGTTCTGAATCGTTAAACCCGGATGAACACGGATAAATCCAAATGAACAAAATAAAAAACAACACCAAAATCTCATCAGAAACCTTTCTTTTTAATTGAATTTTAGATTTTTCCCGTCGATTGATTGGACCGAAGTGCTCGGTCTCAGGTTGACATGTCGGCTTCTTGAGCAGATGCTTCGACGATGTCTGGGCATGTAATTAGAATTTAATTGGTGGATGGTGACTAGCAGTGGAATCCAAGATGTGCATTTCGTCCTATTTGGGACTCGTCATTTGGATGTACCTGCATTCCCCAGTGAGTGATGATGTTCACCATGTCTCGAACCCTGAGACCGAGCACTTCGGTCCAATCAATCGACGGGAAAAATCTAAAATTCAATTAAATCAATATGACCCGTTGCACAAGAGGTGGCTCTCGTGGCCCAAGTGGTCTAGTGGATAACGCTTTGGCGTTTGAAACTATGGACACTGGGTTCGAGCCTCGGTGGGAACATCATCACTCACTGACTGGGGAATGCAGGTACATCCAGCTGACGAGTCCCAAATAGGACGAAATGCGCGTTATCCTGGATTCCACTGCTAGTCACCATCCACCAATTAAACCTTTCTTTTTATTTGTCAATTTAAAGTTTATCCAATAATCTTATTATTATTATTAATATTTTGTTTTCAGTTGACAGTTTTACATCACTATTGTGCTTTATATGCGAAGGCATAGTTGATAATTATAACAGTAATAATAATAATAATACTCGTAATCAAACAGATCAGCATCTTCATTATCTATCACCTATATCCTACTTATTTGAATTATGTCAAAATATACAACTATTTGTCAATTTTACCAATCACTACTCTTTGCACGATTCCACTGAAATCAAATTTATACAGAATCAAATTATTAAGCTGAATTCAATTTTTCGCATTATCACAAGTCAATGTAATTCATCGTAAGTTTTTACAAATTGTATGAGTTTTATATTTCTTTATATTAAGTATTGTCATATGTAATATATATACTTAGCTTTAGACTCTATATTATCCTGTAAAAATCTATGATCTGAGGACTGCCAATATTTCAAAAATAAAGATGACTACTTTTTTGATGTGGTTGTGTTCTCTGAGCTGGATAGTTAATTTGCGAAGCTTTCATCGCCCTACTAGGCGACATCTTCCTTCAGCGCATACTTCAATTTGAAGTGAGCTTTTAGATTTCTCCACGAGTTTATTAATCATCTCTCCTGGTGGGTGACCTTGGACGTGATTGGTTGTTTTTGTGTGTTTTCACACCTTCTAGGTTACTTGTATTGTAACTCATTGTTTCTTTGACTTGAACTTTGACCATTTGTGTGTGAGGTTTGCTTCTTATCGGTTGATAAATTTTGTCTATCTCAATGTGTCTATTGATTGATGATTCACTGGAATGCCAAGCTTCTAAAAATTCTCTAGCATTCTTGTTGTTTCCTCTGTCTAATATTTGAACGTTGTCCCAGTCGAATTGATGTCCGTGGTTGTCTGTATGTAGTGATATGAGGGAGTGGATATCATGTCTTTTGACAGCTAGCTTATGTTCGTGGATACGAAGACGAAGGGGATGTCCACTTTGGCCAATGTAGTGTTTTTCGCAGTTGTTACAATTTATTTTGTAGATGATGTTGGTTTTATCTTCTTTCGCTGTTGAGTCTTTTGGTTGACATAGAATTGAGTGAAGTGACTTTGTTGGTTTGTGTACGACGTCAATTCCTAAAGGTTTGAAGAGTCTTGTAGTGATTTCTGAGATATCCTTTATATATGGCAAGGCGATTTTCTTTGTGCTTTCCTTGGGGGCTTTTGGTTTGATAGGTTGGCTTGGGGGTATATGTCTTTTGATGAAATTCCGTGGATATCCATTCTTTTGGAAGACGTCCATGAGATATATTTCTTCAATTTTCCTTGAGGTGGGAGTGCTGCAATGAGTCCTGGCTCTCTTGAATAGTGTTTGTAAGCAATTCCTCTTGTGTGCTATTGGATTGTTGCTGTTGTAATTCAGGATTTGGTCTGTGTGAGTTGACTTTCTATAGACTTCAGTTTCTAATTCCCCTGTGGTTGTTCGCTTGACTAAGACGTCCAAAAATGGGATTTGGTTCTCTGATTCCTCTTCTCTTGTGAATTTGATGTCGCTGATAAACAACGTCTTCAAATTGAAGTATGCGCTGAAGATGTCGCCTAGTAGGGCGATTAAAGCTTCGCAAATTAACTATCCGGCTCAGAGAACACAACCACATCAAAATCATCCACCTGAGCTACAAATTTTCTCCATCATATCTAAAGATGACTACGTGGAGCACTGTATTACAGGAATCACATAATCGGTGGTACAATCCAATATTGTTATTATTATTCCCTTGGGCTCCGAGTGGAACACAGAGTTTCAACAACACATTTCCACTTTGTTCTATTTTCTCTGCTGTCCTCTTCATCTGGCTCCACGATTTACCATAATCTCTCATCTCCTCCTCGCCACACGATCTCCTTCATGTCACCCTCTCACTGATGATGACCCACTTATCGCTTGCCATTTGGATTCCACTGGAGCGACGACATGCATTGCGCACGATGTCATTCGACGGTTTCCTCAATGTGTATGCACGACCCATCTCCATTTTCTCCTTCAATATTTGTTGAGCAGGCGGCTCTTGGTTGGTTTGTTCTTAGCCAGAATTTCGTGTTGCTAATACTTTCTGACCGGTTGGCCATTTGATCTTCAGTATGGAACCAGAGATGTTGATAAAAGTCTGCAGCTAGTTGTTGGAAATGCTTTTCGTGACACACAGTACAAGTTTCTGACTCATATAGAAGGACTGACATCACATTTGTAGCCACATTTACCAAAGGCATTTCCAGTAGGCTACTGCAGATTTTCGTCGACATCTACCACCACCTTCTCTGTCTCGATACTCAGGATCAGATGGTTGACCAGAAAGGATTAGCAGCAAAAATCTCTGGCAGGCAACTAACTAACTAACCAAGAATCTATTGTCCAACAACAAGTATGCCGAAGGAAATGGAAATAGATTTGGACACACGCTGAGAAGACTCAAGTGGAACCCAAATGGAAATCGATGAATTGGGCGTGGATCCGACGATCCGACATGGAGAAGAGCGTGCAGGGAAGAGTTGACAGCTTATCGGCAGTTGTGGAACGATCGACCGAGGACTGCAGAGAACAGGATGTTCAGAGGAGATGTTCTGTTGGAGCTCTCTATGTCCCACTCAAAATCCAAGGGAATAGTAGATAAATAAATATTTTATTATCTAGTTTGTTTTTACTTATGACGTTATTGCTCTCTTTTGGTGTTGCTATTATATTTTCACTTACAATTTTCTGTTTTTCACAAGTATTGATTTATATCTGAGAAGTGTGTTGCTCACCTTAATGTGCGATAAAGTAAACTTTATTTAATTAAATATGAGTAATTTAGAACAGAGAATATTCAAGAAGTGTTAGGAAGGATTTTTCTCAGAAGATAAGGATGAAAAAACTGTTTGTTACTTGACTACGAACGTCTCGTTATCAACCTAGACGCCTTCATCATAACCTATATGGAAAAAGAAATAAAATCAAGTGGAGTATTCTTAAGATAATTTGTCATTAGATCGGAAAGAAGGGCAACAGGGTGTATTTTCCTTGTCTTGACTTTTTATGATTCATCGTGATTTCTATCAGCTTAGTTAGTTGGTTCTGTCTGCATATATAGATGTCCACATGCCTACCGATTAGTAGCATTCTACTGAGTTATCAAGACAAACAGTGGGCAATGAGGAAACAGGCATAAAATGGACACACACAAAAAACTTGGAGGATCTGGACTTCGCCGATGATATATGTCTGATTTCCCGCAAACTGGAAGATATGCAAGCGAAAAGCAACAAGTTAGCAGAAGAAGCATCCAGAGAAGATAGGACTTCAGGTGAATATAGATAAAACAGAGGTGATGAAGATTCCTGGGCAAGAACAACAAAAACTGACAACAATCAGCATAAATGGGAGGGACTTGAAAGAAACAACCTCTTTTATCACCTACCAAGGAAGCATCGTTTCAATTACAGGCGGAACTGACGAGGATATCAAAGCAAGAATCGGAAAAGCAAGACAAGCTTTCACTACTCTCAAGTCTGTGTGGAGGTCAACAGCACTCAGCATCAAAAATAAGATCCGAATTCTCAACTCCAATGTGAAGTCAGTACTACTATACGGATCAGAGACTTGCACTCCGCGTCATAAAGAGCATCTCAAACAAACTACAGACCTTCATTAACAGTTGTCTTCGCTCAATACTCAAGATCAGATGACCAGAAAAGATCAGCAGCAGAGATCTCTGGCATTGAACGAACCAACCAGGAACCGATTGTGAAACAAATAGGCAGAAAGAAATGGAGATGGATTGGCCATACTCTGAGGAAACCATCAAGTGACATCACTAGACAAGCCATTGCTCGAGTGGAACCCGAAAGGGAAGCGGCGAGTTAGCCGTCAGTGCGAGGGTGACTTGGAGGAGGTCATGTGAAGAGGAGATGAAAATGTGTGGACAGACTTGGAGTCAGGTGAAGACTCTAGTAGAGAACCGAACGCAATGGAGACGCACGGCTGAAACCCTATGTTCCTGTAGGAATTAAAGGATATAATAATAATAATAATAATAATATCAAGATTTCAAGAATTCCTTTTTATAAGCTCAGCTACGGATTGATATCAGTTAGTGGAACCACTGGCAACTGATATCAACCTGTGATCAGACTTGAAACACTAATCAAAACCCTTCAAACCAACTCTTGAAAATCATATCTTGCGCTCACTAGTGAATGGCTACAAGTCGAAGTGAAAAACATCAATAAGAGATAATATGCATAAAAGTGTATTATTTAAACTGAATATAAGATAAATTAAGCAAATTAGTGCAGAATTTGATGAATTTATAGATTCCACAATAGACCAGGGGGTAGCAATACTGGCTGAACATGCTTGTTATGCATACACAGTTCTGGTTGTTTTAAGAGAATTGTAATTGCCTCTGCTGTTTGTCGAGGCCTTTAGGAATATTTATTCACTATTCGATAAAATTGATAGCAAAAGATTCTTCAATGCTTTGTGGACAAGGGGGGATATAATACAGAACTTTTGATGGTTTTAATTACACTACTGATTTAGCTGAGCACAAAAAAAAATTAAGTTCCTAGAGCAATGTCCTGTATATATTCACATTTGATGATGATTATATATGTGTAGCTCCGTGATTTGTTATTTTCTAAGATGACAGAAGTTAGAATTCAAGAACCATTGGATTGGGTCCAAGTGGCTCAATGGTCTACGAGCTCGCCTTGTAACCAGAATGTCCTGGGTTCGAACCCCAGTGGGTACGTACTGATGAAGAGTCCCAAACTAGGCTGACGAAACAGCTGTCCAGTACTCCCAGCTGGTTTTCCAGTGGTTCTCTAACTGATGTCAGCTTATGATGAGATAAGATGGTTTAGTCTGCCTGCTACATTTGCATAGTAACCAGAAGAACCGTTGGTTGATTAGCAAACATCAGCGTGTGCGAGTGTGTGTGTGCGTGAATCGCCTTTGCGACTCCCTTTAGGACACTTTCATACTGTTTGTAACATCCTACCACCTGTTATAGTATAGCCGTCATATACATATGGATTTCATTACAGAACAGTTAGTTAGGCAGGTATTCACATTCAATTTCCAGATACCTACTTACTTTTTATTACTTTTTTAAAATGTAAATATTGATCAAAAACAAATGGTATTTTGGTAAATGATGTGTGTGTATGTATATATGTACAACTGTAAAATTGGACAACAACTCGTGTGTGTATGTGTTGTGCAAATGTGTGTTTCTGTGTTTATTTGTGTGGATACGCATGCGCATGTATGTTTATTATTATAATGTTTTCTATATATCTTTATCAAACTAACGAATTGGTTCAATGAAAGCAAATAAATTATGTGAATACAACAAACAAAATGCTTTTTACATACTTACATATAAACAATAAAAACTAACAGGATTTCATGCTTACATGTTAAAAATCAATAATACACACTTCACATCATGGTCATCATTTAGATCGATATTTAACTTTATCTTTTTTTTGAATGTGAACAAATATACCAGGTGTTATGATTATTACTATTGTTAATAGTAATAATAATAGTAATAATAATGGTAACCTTTTCTCTCTTGTTTTAATGCACTGAATTGTTTATTTACTGGCCACCTACCTTTTGTACAGTGAATTAATTAAAACTGGGAGCTGATATTAGATAGTTAGAGGCAATCGGCAGGATGCCCAGCCTGACTGACTTAGGTTTCGTGCTGTTTGGCACTCACTAGCCAGTAAGGCATATCTACAATGTTGAAGGAACACATACCGCTCTTGAGATTGGAACCTATGTCACCCAGGGCGTCGGCCGGGAATTGAACCTGGATTGCATGCCTGGTTAATAAGCATTCTGCTAATGAACTGCCGACGCATATTATTATTACTTCTAGATAAATTTTGAAGTAAGAAATACAAGTTTGTGTTCTTTCATATTTTCTAAAAAATCTTTTGTTTCCATTACAGCGATCAAATACTTGTCTATCACCTGTACAAAGACTACTATGATGAAGTGAATACAAATCACGTAAGCTTTTGATTGCCCAAGTGGCATCCATTCGGCTATTTTTGTTTTTGAACGCATAAAGGTGGCTTAAACTTTCTAATTGCCAGCTAGGGCTTCCACAAACTTTAGGATACGCCCCAAACACGTTTTATAAATAGGTTTAAAAGATCTATTAACGTCAATTTTATGTCCTGTCTCTATAATATGTTTCGCAATAGAAGAGCTAGGTCTCCTGTTCTCACCGTTAATAGGTTCTGATGATTCCATTTGTTTCTGGAGCCATTTAGGAATATGCTTTTTCTTGAGGAGGGATACATTTGTCATAACACAGTCTAAAATGTAAGCTACATACACATACAGGATGTGATTTGTGCGTCGTAGGCATCAACTTGAAGTCAAAGGCATTTTTAAAGTATCACTCCTAGGAAGTGATATTGCCATGTCCCCACAGCAGATCATAAAATCCAGTGAAAGAGAAGATAGGAATATTCATAAGTTCCGCAGAATGATTTTCAGTAAACCTTTGCTTTTATTTACTTATTTTGTTTATCAAATGCTTTATATATATATATATATATATATATTCAGAGTTCATATGCAGTATTATTAACTGATGAAGTTTCGAGCACACTTTATTGCTCATAATCGTATCAAAGCACTTACATAAATTTCCAACTTCGTTTATATAACTCCATTATTTATTATTACTATTATTATGATTGTTTCCTTTAATTCCTAGAGGAACATAGGGCTTCAGCCGCACGTCTCCATTGCGTTGTGTTCTCTGCTAGAGTCTTCACCTGGCTCCATGTCTGCCCACACGTTTTCATCTCCTCTTCACATGACCTCCTCCAAGTCATCCTTGCACTGACTACCAACTCGCCGCTTCCCTTTCGGGTTCCACTCGATCAATGGCTTGTCTAGTGATGTCACTTGATGGTCTCCTCAGAGTATGGCCAGTCCATCTCCATTTCTTCCTGCCTATTTGTTTCACAATCGGTTCCTGCTGGGTTGGTTCGCTCATTGCCTGTTACTGATCTTTTCTAGCCATCTGATCTTGAGTATTGAGCGAAGACAACTGTTGATGAAGGTCTGTAGTTTGTTTGAGATGCTCTTTATGACGCGCAGTTCAAGTCTCTGATCCGTATAGTAGCACTGACAAACATTTGAGTTGAAAATCCGGATGTTATTTTTGATGCTGAGTGCTGTTGACCTCCACACAGACTTGAGAGTAGTGAAAGCTTGTCTTGCTTTTCCGATTCTTGCTTTGATATCCTCATCAGTTCCGTGTGCCTGTAGTTGAAACGATGCTTCCCAGGTAGGTAAAGGAGGTAGTTTCTTTCAGGTTCCTCCCATTTATGCTGATCGTTGTCTGTTGTTGTTGTTCTTGCCCAGGAATCTTCATCACCTCTGTTTTCTCTATGTTCACTTGAAGTGAAGTCCTATCTTTGATGCTTCTTCTGCCAACTTGTTGCTTTTCGCTAGCATATCTTCCAGTTTGTGGGAAATCAGACATATAATCATCGGCGAAGTCCAGATCCTCCAAGTTTTTTGTGTGTGTCCATTTTATGCCTGTTTCCTCATTGCATGCTGTTTGTCGCATTATCCAATCTACTGCAATCAGGAAAATCATTGGCGATAGTAAGCAACCTTGTCTTACTCCTGTCCTCACTTCGAAGGGTTCCGTAATTTTCCCGTTGTGGATTACTTGGCATGCAGCATTGTCGTACAGCTGTTGGATGAGGTGTATAATTGTTGGTGGCACCCCGTAGTAGCGAAGTATTTGCCAAATCACCTCTCGATCGACGCTGTCAAAGGCCTTTTCAAAGTCGATGGAGTTGAGATAGAGATGTGACTGCCACTCCAAGCTTTGTTCAATGATGATCCGTAATGTGGCGATTTGATCAATGCATGATTTGTTTCTCCTGAATCCAGCCTGTTCCGGTCGAAGTTTTTCATCCAGGTTGGCATGTTTGATTCTCTCCAGGATGATGCGGCTTAGTATTTTGCTTGGTTTGATTGGTGCTAATATTTTCAAAATATCTCTCTGATATTGCCGTCGCGTCATTCCTATTGCTTGTGTTCGATGTAGACTCCTCCCTCACTTGATGAACAAGCATTCAGTGATCAACCTCTCCCTCGATCTACCTACTCTACTTTTAAGAACAATAGCTCTGCTCTACCCTACTGTGTGTGTGTGTTAATGCATGCATTGCAATCGCTGTGTTTTTCACTAAACTGACTCATCTTTGTGGGGTCAGCTATTCTAGACTTAGCTAAATTCTTGTGTTCTGATAGTCTGCAAAATACCTTCTAATGATTCTGTGGTCTCGACTGCATAGGTCAAACTAACAAGTGGGTCGGGGATAGTCAGATTATATATATATACGATAAGGACTAATTTCATTCCAAAATATTGATTATGTCTATCACAGTTCAATATGGGAATGCAGTTCCATGTTTCAGGACTTCATCATGAACTGACATCGGTTAGAGAACCATTCTATGTTATTGTGAGTAAATTGGAGTACGCTGAATTTTATTATTATTATTGTTATTATTATAATCATGATTATTATTATTATTATCTTAGTATCCATCTCCGCTTACTCTTGGCCTGTTTACGATCCTGTGTGGAATTATTTCCGGACTACGACCAGATGTAAGTGAATATTAATTATTTGTCTTTTCCAAGAAATTGTTTAAATTGCATACGATATTTGAACTTGAATTCAAACCTACTATATATTCAAAAACAATTTCAGTAATATCTCAACTATATAACAAAAATTTGTAGTAACACAGATCATATTCCTACGTTGGCGTCTCGTAGTTCTGTTATCCTGTTATCTCTCCCCTCGCCAACCTCTCGCTCTTGTTAATCGATTGATTCAAATTTCCGAAAATACCCATTGAATCATGAAGAAAATAAAAGACAATTCAGCAAGAAAATTTTCTTTACCGATGAAAGAAACGATAAAACCAAACGGTGCCGAAGAAACCTTATTTATGAACGTTGAATTGTGAAGAAAATAAAAGATAGATTCAGCGAAGAAAATTTTCTTTATCGACGAAATCATCTTCAGAGGCTGTACAGTCGTATTTATACTTCCAGAAATATATAGTAGTCTATTATTAAGTAATAGGGGGTGACATAACTGATATAATTACTCGGAATTGGCTTTAGAAGTAAAAAATAAAAGTTGTAAATTACGTGGTACTCAACGGAAGAAAGATAGAAATTTGATAAGGTTAAAATTGCTATTGAATCAGAATAAAGGTATTTGAGTGTCAATTTAACAAGTGTGAAGAGGGTGTGAAAATATACAAAAGGAGCATATGAGAGTGATAATAGTGAATTAATTATTAAAGCAAAAGCAAACTAAAACTAAGATTAGAAATTACAAAAATAACAGAAAAAAATCAAAATTTTTTTTAACAGGGAACGATTAATGAAAAGGTTAAGACCAAGGTAGAATAAGAGACTGGACAAACGTTTTCTGTATACAGAGTTCGGGGTTGTAGTGACGAATTGCCAGAGCCTCCGCCATACACAAAAGCCGAAACCTGACGCCCTTTGTACCATTTGGCTTCACTTTGTAGATGATCTTGAAAGACGACTCCGGTGGAGCTACGTGGTCTGAGTTCACCAAATGCTCGAGAATTGAGCTAGTAATTGTCTTACACTGTCCCTTTGCTAACCATGCCGGATAATGTTCAGAGATGCGTTTGGAAAGTGTGCGCTTTGTGCGACCAATATAACTAGCTCTGCAGGAACAAGTGAATTTATAAACACACATTGAGGTGGCCCGAAGCGGCAGTTTATCCTTCACACATCTGTTGATCACTTTTCGGCTGTAGAAATTGATACGTAGCTTAGCCATAAAGAAGGCTTTCCTCAGTGATCTGCATAAGCGATTCTTTAGGATCTCAGCTGCGGTATCACCTTTAAATTCAACACTCATAAATAGCAGTTTCTTTGGCACCGTCTGGATTCTTTCAGGCTTTTCCCTTAACTTCATGTTTTTCTCGATAAATCTTGGAGGATATCCATTCTCTATGAGGACTTGTCTGAGTCGCCCCAGTTCCCCATCGATTGTATCACTGTATCACACTGCCACCTCAGTGTGTTTATAAATTCACCTGCTCGTGTGGAGCTAGTTATATTAGCCGCACACCCAAACTGCACACTATCCAAACGCATCTCTAAGGTTTATCCGGTATATTTAGCTAAAAGACAATGCAAGACAGCTACTAACTCAATTCTCGAGCACTTACTGAACTCAAACCACGCAGCTCCACCTGAGTCGTCTTTCAAGATTATCTACAAGGTGAAGCCAAATGGTACAGAGGGCGTCAGGTTTTGGCATTTGTGTATGGCGGAGGCTTTGACAATTCGTCACTACAACCCCGAACTCTGTATACAGAAAACGTTTGTCCACTCTTTTTATTCTACCATGGTCTTAACCTCTTCACTAGTCGTTCCCTGTAATTTTTTATTTTCAATAATTAGTTTGCTTTTACTTTAATAATCAATTCACTATCATCACTTTTACATGTTTCTTTTGTACGTTTTCTCACCCTCTTGACATTTGTTAAATAGACACTCAATTGCCTTTCTTCTCATTCAATAACAATTTTAACCTTATCAAATTCCTAACGCTTTCTTCTTTTGTGCCGTTGAGTATTACGTAATTTATAACTTTTATTTTTACTTCTGAAGCCACTTTTGAGTAATTATATCAATTATCAAGTATTGGTTTTGTAGGGATTTAGTTTGATTGGATGGAGGATTTCATCATGAGCTGACATCAGTTAGAGAACCACTGGAAAACCTGGGAGTACTGGACAGCTGTTTCGTCCTAGTTTGGGACTCTTCATAAGCACGCACCCAGGGGGTTCGAACCCAGGACCATCTGGTTACAAGGCGAGCTCGTAGACCATTGAGCCACTGGGACCCGATCCAATGGCCCCGGTGGGTGCGTACTGCTGAAGAGTCCCAAACTAGGACGAAACGGCTGTCCAGTACTCCCAGGTTTTACAGTGGTTCTCTAACTGATGTCAGCTTATGATGAAATCCTCCATCTAATTATATCAATTATGTCACTCCAGTTGTATTACTCAATAACAGACTACTATACATTTTTGGTAAATATAAATAATACGACTTTACAGCTTCTGAAGATGATTTCGTCGATAAAGAAAATTTTCTTCACTGAATTGTCTTTTATTTTCTTCATGGTCTAAATTTGGTCATTGTTTTTTTTCAACAACATTATACAGTGTTTCTGAAAAATGTCTTTCGTGACTCCATGCATATACAACGACGAATAGACATCAGAATGTAAGTGATTTAAACCCTTAGATAGAAAAGCCGAAATAAATCATCGGTAAAACTATTGTTGAATTAAAAAAAAAATGGAGGTATTTGGTGTGAAATAGCCTGGTATACTTGTAATCTTGACAGAAATTGTTAACTGTTCATTTATTATTATTAAGTATATATCTCAGGTTCACTTTCATCCTTAGGGGTGGAGTTCACTAATGTCAACTTTCAAGTGGATACTCATCAATGAATGGCATTGGTTGATGGTAGCTCTACACTATCAACCGACAGAAGTCTGAATTCATGGGTAGTTGAATTCCAACTCAGTAGCTGAGGATTAGTCAATGTATTAATCTCGTAACGTATAGAAATTTGGGTTCGATCTCTGATTGAGTTGTGGAAACGATGTGCTGAAGAGTCACAAAGTAGGACGAAATTAACTGTCCTACTAGTGCTCTTCGGTTTCCAAAGAATTTCTAACTAATGTCAGTTCCTGACGAAATCTACACTGAAGTTCCCTGAAAGCTTAAGTGGAAACTCGCTTGCAGAGTAATCGATCAGAGCATGCCGTGGTAACTCCACATTACAATATTGCTCAGCTTAACTACGTGGCACTTGCTTCAGTTAGCTTAGATTTTTGCCTACTAGTACCAATCCGGAAAAGCTTGAATTACTAATCCACTAGTTTGTTATTTGATTTTTTCACTAGTGTCTGTAACTACTGTTAGTTTACAATCTGCGGACTTTACTGCAAAAAGTCATATTCTCTGTTTTTATTAACTTCATATAAAATACGATAATTTACTTCGATTTTGCTTTGTCTTTAGGTAATAAAATCTGAAAATCCTGTTAGTTTATTGGATTTCTTTGTAAATAATATTGAGAATATTCTTCATCACATCCAATGTTCGAATCCTCTTCTGTTGTCGGTATTTTCACAGACAGTTGCGTCTTTGCTAAATAAGACTGATGATGAATGTTTTACAAGTAAGTCTTTTTTGCAATAAACCTATTTGAAATTAAGTTAAATTTAGTTGAATCACTCTCAGATTATTTCTATATTTAACTCACTTTCCTCAGCAGTGATAACCTCTGTGTGTCTGTGTGTGAGAGAGACAGAGTTCGTGCATTGTCAATGAGAACGGATGTGAAGGTCCTGAAGCAATTTCTGTTTTAGATCTAAGTAAAACATATGTCAGTATTTTTTTTATCACTACCGATATTTATTCATACCATCTTGGGAAGTATGTCGTAAATTTTTCTAATATCACAGCATTTTAACTAGCTTCACCCTTACAAGTTCGTTTAAACAGAATAAAACATATCGAAGGGAATCCTTTGTCTCCTCCTCATTCCTCATTTCACCCTGAGACTACTATAATAATAGCCTGGAACCTGTTATCACTTAACTCTTTCCTCAGCCTTTGTTCATCAGTCAACCTCGATTTCCCTTGACTTGATTTAAGTGGTGAAAATTCATATCTCCTTCCTTATGTTAGCTGAGTGCAGTAGACTTCCACACTAATCTTAGAGCAATGAAGGTTTCTCTTGATTTCCACATCCGGGTTTTCACATCTTCATCCATGTCATCTCCTCTAGTTGAGACCATCCTGTCTACGACATGTAGGTGAATCAGGTGACTTCCTCCAAATGTCTCCCGTTGATATTGGTCGGTTGCTTGGTTGGTTCCTGTAGTTGCTTTTCGTGGTGGTGGTAGTGGTGGTTAGGTAATTTCATCACTTCCGTTTTCTCTATGTTTACTTGAATTCGTGTCTTTGCTGCCTGTTTCTTCTGACAACTTGTTGATTTTCGTCGGTAGATCTTCGAGTTTGTTATGACATTAGACATAAGTCGTCCACGAAGTCCAAATCGCCTAGATACTTGTAATGGGTCCAACGTATGCTCGCCTTCTGGCTTCCCAATTTCTGTGGCATGATCCAGTCCACCGCAATCAGGGATACCATCTTTGATGGTTGGCAGTCTTGTCGTACTCCTATCTTCTTTTCAAAGTCTTCTTTGAGCTTTCCGTTGTGAATTTGTTGACTTGTGGCATCATCAAAAAAAGCTGTTCTGTTAGCTTGATGAAGGTTTATGGCACCACATAGTGTTGAATCACTTTCTAAATTACTTCAAAATTAACGCTATTGATGGCCTTTTCAAAGTCGATGAAGTTGAGATACAGAGATCTGACTACTATTCAGTGCTCTGTTCGACAATGATGATGATGCGTAGCTCTACAATTTAATTCAAACATAGATTATACATATGAGTATAAAACTTGGGCACTGTGGTAGAGTATAACTCCATTATGGATAAGATTTTATTTTGATAAATCACACAGTGTTGTACAGTAATATTAACTGATGACGTTTCGAGCACAAATGATTGCTCATAATCATAAATTGTGCGATCAATGTAAGGCTTATGATTGTCTCAATGTACATACAGTTAAGTGAAATCATCACTCTCAGCCTCACTAGTCTTGTTCACCTCATCTGTGCAATCACCGTGTATATATGCAATCATGGGACATTTTCTGCACCCACCTACAAACCCAAGTGCTTTTTTCTATTGATTGTAATAATAGAAGTCGATAACTTTGTTATTCGGCAAAGCTCAGCTTTAGACACCCAATGACCTTCGGAGGAGTTAGGGCGCTTGAAATCGAATTCGGTTTCTTAACCCTAATCTGTCCTTAGCCTAAATCTAACAAGATATCCTGTTTCATATCATTACACTTCATTCAACGTATTTATCGGTCTCACTACCTGCTTTGATTGAGCGTTCGAATAGTCATTGGTGGTGCTTTTTGTGCCTGTTGGGCTGTCTACAGTTTAACTACACCTGCCAATAATGATGAACACTGATACGTTTGTTTATTCGAACAGGTCTTCATTGGCGGGAGACAAGAAGGCTATCGTTGCTTAATCCTATATTGCTTGACAGAAAACTGTTTCGTTATCGGTGGGAGAATAAACAATTATATTGCCCCACTATTATTTTCTGTTGTTCCGCATCGGTTACCGTGTATAGTATTCTATATGACTAGGCTTAGTCTTCTGAAACCAACGATAGATCCAGGATCTTTGCGATCTGGATATTTGACAAAAACCTGTTATTCTTGTTTTAAGTGAAATAAAGTTTCATCTTCTCCTATAATCATATACATTGATTTTACTTGGTACATTATCAAAATTGTTTTGTTTTGTAAAATGATTATAGTCTATATCAGCTCGAATTACAAATCTATGTATAGTACGTACATTCATTCATCTTATGCTACAATGCATGATATAATAATTATTATTAGGAAATGCAATCAATTGGTTGCAGTTTGAATTTTGTGTTGCTTGTATGTGTGTGTGTGTGTGTGTATGATTATCCTGCTTGTGTAGCCTTCGGCTTCCATGAGGTCTACAGTTGTACATGTACATATAGTTTGTCTGTCTATCATATGTGTGTGTGTGTGTCTATCCATTATTTTTCTATTCGTCTACAGTCTGTCTAAAATATTGTCTGCTTTGTAGGATTATCTATCTGTTCATATTTGTTTGTTTCGTTCTTTTTTTCATTCTGCATATGTTATGTAATAAACAGCCATCTGGTTGATAATAAGTTTTTTTTTAAAGATTTCTTTCAAACACTAACGTACGAAAAGAAAAGCATTGATATAGACTTCACTTACGGATATGTTAACTGAAGACTTTAGAAGGTATATTTGATTGCGTGTATGTGTGTGGTGTGTTAGATCTTTTCACATCTGAAATATGAAATCATTTCTATACATTGATGCATCAGGTATAGTAGGATTAGATTTGCAAAAGATCTAGGAGTAGTGGGTCAGCCAAAAACCTATCATCAGTCCATGAAGTCTTAGACTGTTGGTTTAAGCCAATCACTGAAGGAGGTTGGGGGAAGGAGGCTCCTCAGGATGTTAAGAGCCGGTGTCTAGAGACTATTGGAGATATATGGTTGAAAGTCGTTCTCAGTGGCGCAGACGCATTCGCTCCTTGTGCTTTCCATTATCATCTATTAAATCCCAATGTCTTTCCATGTTACTATTCTGCCAACCTCACATTTCTGCTTATTATAACACGTTGAATCCCTTTTCTCTCTGTTTTTCCTCCTTACCTTTGTGTACTGCATAGAATGTGGCCAACTTGAACTGCCGCATTTGTGTGTGTTGAAATTCTATGCCTTCTATATACTAACTGAATTTCTCATTTCTATTGAGTAACCGTATTGATTTTAGTACACCACTACACTACTGAAATGATGTATCAATGAGAATATTGGTGTTGAAGAGAACAAGACTAGGGATTGGAGATTCAAGCTTTATTACTATCATATTACAATGAACATTGAGCTATTTGGGCTCACGATTGACCTCCTCCTATATTGGATACTTTGACTGAACATTAACTGATGTCAGGCGTCTAGTCCTATGTTTCCTGCAGACTGAATTCTCTCAAACAGGTTTAAAATGTGGCCACCATGCTAGGTAGGTGGCTCTCCAACTAAGAATATACGGAATAGGAATAATTCAACACCTGTTCCAGACATTTGGAAAATCCTGCTACTTGTATGACAAGAGAGAAAGAAGAATGAGACTAACAAAAATTGAGTCTTGAAGTTGTATATAATTACATATGATATGATTTTGAACAATATATTGTGTTCGAAGTAATACTATTTCATTTCGTTTGTTGGATGAGCAAATTAATATCGAACTATATGCTAACGATGATATTCCTGATTGTGGTGGACTCGATTATGCGACAGAGTGAAGGGAGTGAGAAAACTTGAATACGCTGGACCGACTACACGTATCTAGGCAATTTGGACTTCATGGACGATTTATGTCTAATGTCACACAAGCTCGAAGATCTACGGACGAAAATCAACAAGTTATCAGAGGAAGCAGACAGCGAAAATAGGACTTCAAGTAAACGTAGAGAGGACAGAAGTGATGAAATTATCTAACCACCACTACCACCACCAACGAAAAGCAACTACAGGAACCAACCAAGCAACCGACCAATATCAAGGGGAGACATTTGGAGGAAGTCACCTGATTCACCTACATGTCGTAGACAGGATGGTCTCAACGAGAGGAGATGACATGGATGAAGATGATGATAAAACCCGGATGTGGAAATCAAGAGAGACCTTCGTCGTTCTGAGACTAGTGTGTAAATCTCCTGCACTCAGCTAACATAAGGAAGGAGATTTGAATTTTCACCTCTAATATGAAATCAGTCAGTCAGTCAGTGATTCTATGTGATTCAGAGACTTGGCACACGCGTCACCAAGAGCATTTCCAACAGGCTCCAGAGTATCATCAACAGCTATCTTCACCGTCTCGATGGTGGAGATCAGGTGGTGGGCTAGAGAAGATTATCGACAGGAAAGTCTGACAATTAGCCGAAGACGAACCTATTAGACAACGAGTATGTCGATGTAAATCGAGATTGACTGAGCTGAGTATATTCTGAGGAGAGCGTTGAGTGACGTCAGGCGCCAGGCTGTTGAGTAGAATCCAAATGGGAAACAATAAATTCCGCGTTTTAGGATGACATTTAGGAGGTCCTGTAAGGCTAATGGGCAGTCGTGGAGCCAGTCTAAAAGAACTGTAGAGAATGGAGATGTGCTTCTGAAGCCTGACATTCCACTCAGATAGAGTCAGGAAAGTCGCCAGCTTTCTATTAGCATAAATAAGTAGACGGAAAGTAACTGAACGACTGTTTTTAGGTTATATGCTTCATACATTTGAAGTAATTAACATGTATAAGAGCATAATAGAATAATTTTATTTGATATAACACAGTGACACAGTATTATTTAATTTACTGATGACAACATTTCGGGCATAATTTACTCATAATCATATCAAGGTGATATAATAAATGTTTTATCACACAAAAATTTATTCCTTTTTATGGAATTATTTTCCTCTCACAGTGCTCAAATTCTATTTTTATATCAGTGTATCACGAGACACTTCAGAAGGCAATATAAACCGATTTTACGCCGAAATCTTTTCATTTCTTTGAAATGAAGAACTATGAATACACGGCATTTGAACTTCTTTAGAATAGTAGAAATTCCCCATGTTGTTAGGTGTGAGCACACGCTTGAAACTGCTTCATCATATTCATTCTGTCTTGTCATATTCTTGTTGTTTTCTACTTTACAGATGTAAAGCAGTGCTTGTCCAGTTGTTTAGATCACTTTTTCACATCGATGCAGATTACTGGAAGCCAAAACACATTCGTCTGTTTTCTGGTATTATGGTCAATTCGTGGTCTCTTGTCCTCATATGCATATAATGAAAGCGATAATCGCACCGCTCATAAAGAATTGGGTGATTTTCTGATTAAGTCAAGAATGATTACATTTACACCGTTGGGTTTTGATATATCAAGTTATCAAAAAACCGTATTATCTGCTGAATTTCAATGTGTATGCAGTTGTCTTGACCAAGCTGATGAAATACTGTTAAAGTCATTGAATTCAACCTCTTCTTCTTCTTCTCTGTGTACATTCAGTCATTGTTATATTACAGATTCATATATTCGTAATATCCTTCAACAGATTATTGAACCTATGCATAGTGAAATTAACCTATTGATAGACAGGATTAGATCACAACCAGAACTTCTTAAAACGCACAATTGTTTTACAGCATTTTTAGGTAAGCCATTTTGAAAATCTGTTTAACTTATTTCTTTTATAATGCTGATTTACATGCTGCTGTAAAAATGACGTTAGATAGCTGATTAGTGCATCGCTGATTCAGTGGTGGGAATGCTCGTCAAACACACACACACACACGCACGCGTGCATGGTCCAGATTCGATTCTCGGTCGATGCACTCCTGAACCTCGACTGGCTGGTAGCAAGCCTGGTGAAGAAGGAAGCTAAGGCGTGGAGCTAGCAGCCCCATCCTGCAGAAAATAAACATTGCCACTAAAACTTTAGAGCTCAGGCTTAAAGCACAATATTTCATTTGGAACGCAAAGTAATAGAATAAAATAAAATAAATAGAAGAAAGATGTCTGAATGATTTATTTCTGTATAGACCTGTCAATCCATCGCGTTTTCATTTTTATACACCAGTAAAAAATGAATTTGCAGAAGTTGGAATTCATGAGCCATTGGATCAGGTCCCAATGGCTAAATGACCCTCAAGGTCGCCTTTTAACCGGAAGCTCCGGTGGGTGCGTGCTGATGAAGAGTCCCGAACTAGGACAGAACAACTGTGTAGTACTCCTTCGTTATTCAATAGGTTCTCTAACTGATGTCAGCTCATGATGAAATCCTGTAACCAGTAAAAAATGAGTTTACAACTGTAAATCATATTAAAGGACATTATATTCAAACACCACTCAATTTACTCACACTATGCTTCAAGATTAAAAATAGATCAATTAACTACTGAAATTGACTCAAGTTGATAACATTCAAATAACCATAATCTTCATAAGGACTTCAGTTAGACATGTTATAATTGCTTTTTCAGTGTTGAGTTGTAGAGATTTCATTGGTGTCTCAGAATAGATATCGTCGCAAACCGACGGGAATTACTGTAGTTTTAATGAAAAAAGTGGTGATAAATGGAACCTACCATTAGATAGATACTCGCCGATGTTATTCGACGGTAATGACACTAATATCACGATTTGACAGAAGTTAGAATTCACGTGTCATTGTATTCCATCTTCATGGAACCTATTTAGGTCTTAGTGTCCATCTCTTATAGTAGGGTTGTAAAAACGCACTGCTAAGAGTCCCAGTGTAGGATATATAACAGCTATCCGGTGCTGCTTCTCGGTTTCCAGTGATTCTCTAACTGATATCATTTTTTGACTAAATCTATATATTCTTACTTCCGAGGACAGAACAGAGCGAAGACGAGCTTTTGAAGACCTACCTGCTACTCGGAACCCAAGGGGACGATAAATAATAATAAATATCTACGAAACGGTCATCAGTCGACTGTCCAATCTCCCAATCTCAATCTACCTCTATATCATCTGAATATTTGTCATTGTACATTATTTCTGAGCGTTCTTATAAGTAATATACAACATATATCAATCTCTTACTTATATTTTTTAAATCTTCAACACAAACCTTTCATTTTATGCATGATGATTGACATCATCTCTTGCATTTCTGCTAGTTATATTTCAATATTTGTGTTCAGTTCTCGTTTATTCTTCTTTTTTGCTGGTCGATGAGTTAGTCAGTGAATCAACCGGAATGATCAGTCATCCAATCATTATATTCCTATTGCTGTTAGTTCTCTAGATCCCCGAAATGGAACATAAGGCCTCATTGCATTCACTTATCTTCTATCATTTTCAACTAGTTCCACGACAGTGGATCTCTCTCCATGTCACTCTTACAGTCATGTGCAACTTGTAGTTCCCACTCGAGCGAGGATCAACAGTCATCTCAACGTATGTTCAAATCAATCCATCTCTCTAACCTTATTGCTACTGAAAAATTCAAAGTATAGAAATAACCATCTACTCAAGTATACACCACCACCAGATCAGATGTGAGGGCAAATACCTACCGATGACAATGGCTAGCAGTTGTACTATAAAAATCACAAATTGATAGAAGTTAGAAGGCATTAAGCATTAGATTCCGTCCCATTGGTTGAATGGTCTATGAGCCCATCGTGTCACTTGAAGATTCGAAGGGGTTTGATCTACAGAAGAGTCCCAAACTAAGGCAGACTCCCTGGGTATTCAGTGGTTCTCCAACTGTTATTATCCCTGTAATCTTACTTGAAACCAATCCACTCCCTACAAACTACACAAGAAATAGTCGGATTGGACACTAGTAACTAGTGTGATGTGTCTAGTCCTTGCTGACTGGGAGTGCCAACTAGCACGAAACCTAGGTGGAGCAAGGCTTACTGCCGATTGCCTCCAACCATCTAATATAAGAAATAGTCATTAGAAATTCCTCCATCAATAATCACAAATTTACTGAAATATTTCTTCAACTCTATTCTATCCTATATATCACTGCTTTATATATCACTCTCTCTTTAAGATAAATATTCTTTTATGATTGTGATTTTGATTTTTGTTCAACTGATAGTTTGTATTGATTCGAAATGGGAGTGTTTAACTTCCTTCATAAAAGTATCATATTGAAATGACAAACACAATAGTTTAATATGGGATTATCGTATTCTTCTATAGAACAAAAAGTTGTTATGTTTTCGATTCACAGCATGATATATATATGCATATAGGTGTATACATTAAAGATTATTGATTAGTGTTGCTATTTCTAGCACTAATCAATCGAAAGATGACCGAAAGTTTAAAATAAACGCCGCAAAAATAGAGTGGACGGAGATAGAGAGAAAAATTCAGATTGGAGATGTCTAGTTCATTGATTGATTGCTTGTTTGTTCGTATTTTCTTTAGCTTCATTTTTACAAAAAATTGACGTGTTAGGTTCTTACTATACGGGACTCCTGCTGATTGCCGTCTGATTATATACAGCATTATAAAGTCAAAACAAAAATGAGCAATGTCGCAGTGTATGTACAGCACAATATTTTTTTTCTTTTAAATTTTATACTTGACCGATAAATGTATATATATACTGTACATATTTCATTTCAATGCATCAATTACAGTCGATAATATTGTTGTATGAGACATTTTCAAGTGTTGGTTTCCATGGATTTGATTGGTATCAAGTAAGAGCAAAGACTGATATCAAGTTAGAGAATCGTTGACAGCTGTTTTGTCGTGAGTTGGGACTCTTCAACAGTTCACACCCATGGCCTCATCGAGAATTGAATGCAGCACTTTCAAGTTAAAAGACAAGCATTTTGGTCATTCAGCCAAGGTCCTGTGAAATATAACTCCTATCAGCACCACCTCGGGCCATTTTCATTGCCGAGTATTTTTTTATCACGTCCAACCTGATGGATAACTTCTCACTAGAACTCCGGACAACTTGGTCCTGTAGTTGGTCACTAGTAGTTTACAGGAAATCGATTAGTAAGTTTCGAGTTAAATGACTGGATCGCCTCGTAACCTGGTGGTCCTGTGTTGGATCCCTGGTATGTACTGCTTAAGAGTTCTAAATTAGAAGGAAACGGAAGTCCAGTATTCCTCGCTTTTTCAGTTTTCTAATAGATGTTAATTTGTCATTTAACATGAGATAAAATTATACATCGAAATCTAATTTATATACCATTTAATGTATATATATATATATATATTCTTTCCCACATCTTCAGATCATCTATTGGCGTTCTACTTGAAAATAACAGTTCGATTACCATCCGAATTCTTCACTGATGAGCTGATAAGGAAGGTGAGACTCTTAATTTTAATTTCGTTTTTCTATCTCTCACATTCATATGCAAACAAACTTAGAAATAACAGTCTCGTCAGTGATACAGTGCCTGTCAGCCACACGGAATACTGTAAATCTCACGTAAGGCTAGTAACTCCACCCTCGTAAAAACGACACCACTTGCAATGCAAATGCATGCAAAGAAGCAGGATGAGAGTACATTTTCACTTGTTGAGATCTTATCATCAGCTATGAACAGCGTGATGAAATATAATCAAAGATACAAAGACTGTGTAAATAAGTGAAATGTACTCTAGTGTTGTCTGTGTTGTAGTATGATGAATTTCATATATTATTTGTTAATTTCATTTTGTTCTCTCTTTTGTTTAATTCCTTTCTGCGTTGTATTCATATTTGAAAAATAAATGTTAGTTTTTTTCCTAAAAAGAATTAATTGAAGGTGGAGGTTTCCCCTCCCCCATCCCCTTACTTTCTCTACCAAACATTATTTATAGTTTAAAGTGTTGATGAGAGTCAATTAATTGGTTGAAAATGGTTACATGTCCTGTGTAATAGATCACAACAGTATTTATAACTAACTGTTGAGCAACAGTATCAAACATACTTTGCCAGGCTTAATTTATCTAGTAATCAATATGTTATTGTATTCCGCATCACTAGACACTGTTATGTCTGTAACTGGATAGTATAATAAAACCTTTCCTATGCTCAGTATAAGTGATGATAAAGCCTACCCCTGAGTAGTACATCAGTCTTAGTGAGCTACTAGTCTTGGTAGTTTCTGTGACAGTAAATGTTGCTTGATATTCGTGATTCATATCTTGGACAGCAGACTTCAGAGTAAAACATATCAAATTGCATTTTCATGAATTTTGTGCAAGTATACCTATGGCGTGTGTTACTGACAACATTTTATCAGTAGTATATGAAGAGACGATTATCGGCATAAAAATATCATACAGCAGGGAGATAGATTTGGCGTGAAAGAGAGCAAATTAACCAGTGTTGAGACAAAACAGTGGAGACACGGAAAGAAGACAAAGAAATACAATACGAAGGGTAGAAGCAGCACAACATAGAAGGAACACTGTACAGCTGTTTCGCCCTAGTTTGGGACTCTTCATCCGTGCACACCATCACGAACTTACCAGGGACCGAATCCGTGTGGTGTCTTCAGCTTACAAAACCAAGCTTGTTGACTATTCAGCTAATTGGGATCGAATTAAATAACAACCCGTGAATTCTAACTTTGTTAATTTGTGTGATATGAACACGTTAACTTCACCGATGCCTCCGATTGATATCCACTTCAGCTTGATATACTGGACTCTTCTGGTCTTAAAATAGAACAAAACATCTCTGTCCAGTGCTCTCTGGTTTTCAATTATCGATCTAACTGATTTTGGTTCTGGACTATTCAGGAAGGTATGGGAAACTGAGAGTGTACCATCAATGTGGAACGAAGCCATTATCGTCCCCATCTTTAAAAAGGGTCGACGTAATTCATGTGACAATCATAGGGGTATCAGTCTGCTACCAGTTGCGTCTAAAATATTGGCTGCTGTCTTGCTTCGCAGGCTGTGCAAAATACGTGAGGGATTGATTCGCGAAGAGCAGGCTGGGTTTCGTTCAGGTCGTGGATGCATTGCTCATGTGTTCACCCTTCGTCAGTTGTTGGAACACCGCCACACTTATTGCAGGCCATCTATCGTTGTGTTTCTTGATATTAGGGCTGCCTTCGATTCGTTGGACAGAACTGTGCTCTGGAACTGCCTGTTAGAGAGGGGTGTACCTGAGAAATTTGTTAACATCCTGAAAGCCCTATACAGAAACACCTCAGATAGAGTGAGGGCATACAACCAACTATCATCACTGTTCCCAGCCAACAGTGGGGTTAGACAGGGTTGCCCAATCTCTCCATTGCTCTTTAACTTTGCCATCGGAGTCAGCTCTGAAGGATGTGCGTGAAGGTGGTGTAGATCTGCTATCTGGAGATAGACTTTTCGACCTCGAGTATGCAGACGATATCGTCTTACTGTGTGACAGCATGCAGGTTACCCAAATCGCATATAATCAGTTGGCGATCAGTGTCTGTAAGTATGGTATGTGCTTTGCGCCGTCTAAGTGCAAAGTACTGTTAAAATATTGGCAGGAGCCTGTACCTGCACTCACTCTTGCGGGTGGACTGCTTGAAGTTGTCGATAAGTTTGTGTATCTAAGTAGTTGTGTGAATGCTGGCGGAGGGGTGACGGATGAGATTTCCAACCATATAATGAAGACTAGGGTGGCATACATCAACTTCAGCCACCTCTGGCGCCGTCGCGACGTTAGCCTGGCTGTCAAACGTCGGGTATACAATGCTTCGGTGCGGGATGTCTTGCTCTGCGCCTGTGAAACCTGGCCTCTCCGAGCTGAGGATGTGTGGCGACTCTGCGTGTTCGATCATCGCTGTCTCCGCAAGATTGCTTGCATTCGATGGCATCATCGCATGAGTAATTCGCAGGTTCGGTGGCGTGTGTTTGAACACAGTGGAGGTCACCATTCATTGAGTGTCGTCATCTGGAAACACCGGCTCCGGTGGCTTGGACATGTGCTGCGAATGTCATCCCAGAGGCTTCCGTACAGGTCTCTGTTCGCTAACCCTGGGACGGGATGGAAAAGGCGGAGGGGTGGTCAATCCATGACGTGGCGTCGTGGAATAATGTTTTTGCTAGATTAGCATCGGTTGGTGCGTCACGACTCCCTGGTTGGGGTCCGCGAGATAGCCCGAATCGATGGCTCGAAACGTTATCAGATATGGCCAAGAATCGTAATCAATGGCGAACGTGTTGCAATTTCCTTCTTTCTTCCCTTTCCTACAATAATTGGTGAATGATTTTTGAACTTGCTACAAATGACTGTTTTCCTTCCAGATGAAGTTCTTTACCCGTTCTCTACTGATATTTTTTACTTTTAATCTATGTTGTTTTATTATTATTTTGTGGTGCATCTTTCTTGGTGCCATATTGTACCAAGTTTTTTTTCTGCGTTTAAATATTAATAGTAATTTGATTCTTGACGGAAATCTAAGGGTTGAAAACTATTCCCAAATCCCTCACAAATCTGAATTGTTCTCATTATCGGTATATTTGATGCACACGCACACTGTATTAAAATGTAAAGGTCAATATACAAATAAAACTACATCATGCTATATATCTGCCAATGCTATACGGTAAATACTTTAACTCTTCAGATTATTGAATGGTGATGAATACATATATATATATATATATATATATATATGTATATATTCGTATTTTATACGTTTAGGTAATCCCATTCGCTTTGTACGCCGTCACATCAATTGATAATACTAAAACTCAACTTGCTGGTTTACACTTCATATCAGTTGTTAGTGAAAAATACAGTCAAAATTCTGAATTATGCAGTTTAATCTCACAAAATCAAGCTGATGATCTTTTTGGTCGATTGCCAAAATTAATGGAAATATCATCCACAAGTAAAGAGGTATGTTTTTTTTATTTTTAACTACTTGTATCTTTATATTTGTATGTATAAATAATTACACGATATTTTAATTGATTAAACATGGCCCATTGAACAAAGAATATTCTCTTCGATAACTTCTTCAATAAGGTCCTACAGTTATGTGTCTATAATAGACCAAGAATAGTCCAGTGTTGGTTTGCAGGGATTTGATTGGTCACAGGACTGATCACGAGCTGAGATCAGTTAGAGTGCCACGAATTGTCAGAAGTTGGAATTTATCGCCCATTGGATTGGGTCCCAGTGGCTTAGTGGTCTACGAGCTCGCCTCGTAACCGGATGGTCCTGGGTTCAAGTTCCGGTGGGTGTGTACTGATTAACAGTCCCGAACTGGGAGGGGGTGAACGCAACAGCTGTCCAGTACTACCAAATTCGAAAATCATTGTTTATAACAACACTAAAATTTTAAATAACACTGAACTAAATTATATCAACAGGTTACATTTGAAAAGCATCTGTAAATGATAATATGCGTAAAAATGTAGCATTAGATTTGAGCATCAAATAAATTTGGAAAAAATAATACTAAGTTTATGAATCTTCAGGTCCCATAGCAGACTCAGCGCGAAGCAATAGTCGGTGAATCTGTTTCTTTTGTACACAGAGCTCCGGTTGTTGTAAGCAGATTACAATGGAGTATTTGGTACCTAGAGGCCTGTAGAAATTTACTTAGTGCCCAATGGATGATAGAAAAAGATTCTGCCATACTAGCTCTTTTACTACCTGTATGGACCAAGTGGTCTAATGCTGAATTGTGTATGGTTTTCAGTACACCTTTAGCCACAAAGTGAGGTGTTCCTCACCAGGAATAACTAAGTTCCTAGAGCAAAAAGCCTAAAGGAGCAACTGAAATGATAGGTACAAGAAGAGCTGGTTAGCCTAGGTGCTTCGTCTTTCATTTTTGGAATCACAACCGGTTGGTTGGAAAATATAAACTGCAGCTTATACATGTGGTAAAACTTGTTCTTACACACATGAACAACCTCCCACCCCTAAGATTTAAAAGACAACAACTTAATTTGAACTGTTAAATTTCGTCAT